ACACTTTCCAATAAAAATAAAATAAAGAGAAAAAATAGCTCAAACAACACTACCTAGAACTATGGAATATATGTAGTTAGTTATCTGAGGAGGAAAAAGGCAACAGAAAAAGCCATGCGGACTAGACCCAGAACAATCCTGCCTCTGACTTTGAACTTGGACCTCTTTGTTTTTTTGTTTTAAAGGAGGAAATGTTTATTTAGCTCACAGTTTGTAGAGTTCATAGTTGGCTGGTTCCAAGGCAAGGTGGCACATGGCAGAGGAGAAACAGCCTATGGTGGGCAGAAGGCAGGAAGGTAGCAAAGCTTCAAAGTACCAAGGAAGCAAACAGCAAGCAGCGAACAACTGAATCTGCACCTCTTTGATGGAAGAGACTTATTAATAACATTTCTCTTCCCCATCTACATCCTGAAAACATTGAACAAAGAGATAAATGAATGATTATTGGAGACCAAATATTACCTTTGTAAAGATAAAAGACTGGCTGAAGGATGTAGGTCAGTATGAGACCTAAATGGACTGTCACTGAACCCCAGAATTATGCTGAATCACCCACACAAATCATAACATTGCTAACCCGCCCCTAAAAAGTCTGTTTAACAAATGTTGCTTGGACAACTGGACACATGCATGGGAATAGTTGAATCTCAACTTCTATTATACCACCATAAAAATTAATTTAAGATTGATTATATAAAAAACTACAACAAAACTGTAAAATTTCTAGAAGAAAATATAGGAAAAAATTTATGGTCTTGAGGTAAGCAAAGATTTCATAGATAGGACATGTACACACAAAAACCACTTATAAAAGAAAAATATTGATACATCAGAGTTCATCAAAATTAAAAACATCAAGGGGAGAAAACTTTCATTAAATTATACACTCAAAAAACTCTGGACATCTCTGTATGTAAATTAAAAATTTTCAATACAGAAAAAGATACGTTGTAAAAATGAAAAAAATTGTAATAGTGCATAGATAATTAAACAAGTTATTAGTATATGCACAGACAAAATTATATCAACTTACAATGCTAATATTTTCTTTTATAGGCTGCTCAATGAAATCAAGATTATTTGAAAGTGCAGGAATTTTGTTATGTTACTTTTCTTTCATCTCTAAGAAAAAAAATTATTTAATTTAATGTTAACCATAATTTAAATGTTTCAACTGACTGAGACCTTGTTCGTAACACAAATCCCTCAGGGAAATAATTTGTGTTGTTTACATCCAGCTGGTCAGTGTTCATAGACAACATTCAAAAATGACTGCTCATTAAAAGCTCCCAAATCATGGGCTGGGGATGTAGCTCAGTGGTTTCGCCACCTGCCGTGCAAGTACAAAGACTAGAGTTCAATCCCCAGTAGCAAAAAAGAAACAAAAAACAAAAGCTCCCAAATCTTAATTTGAGGTTCTAAGATATTGAACAGGGCAATACTGGAACAAATTTTCAGGCACTTTTTTAACACTTTAATCAATCTAACTGCTATAACATTGTCATGGATACACACATACAGAAAACTAACAATCAAAACTGGAACTGACTTTTACTCTTCTCTCCCTAAGAGAATTTCACCAGCTAGCCTGAGGCACTGGTGTGTTTTAGGCATGCTTATCAGAAGTCACAGGGATCTAGCAAAAATAAATAAGTAAATACAAACACTGTAAGTTGTATGAAAAAGATCTCTAATAAAGTTTGTGTTCTAAACTTCTAATATATGTAACAATAACATTTCTTAAATTCTGTATTTTTAAAATAGGTTCAGCCTTGATACAAAACCCTCTTTGCTGTAGTAGCACAATTATTTCATTACCTCCCCCTTGGTACTAGGGCTCTGAAATATTAAATAATGTGTTGTAGTCTATGGTATTGTCAGAGCTTCTGGATAATTAGGAAAATTTGAATTCATATTTTGTTCTGTACAATTTTGAATCTCTCTCATATTAATATAAATAAGCCTTAATTCCAGATCATTTTCCAACAACAAAATGTTACATTATGAAAAAAATCTAAAGCAGAAATCCTTATTTATCAATGTTTATTTAAAATGTAATATTACAGACCTTTAAGTGTTCTTTTATTGTTGATAAGTAAGATTATAACTAAAATTAGTTTCTAAATTTAACAATATATTTTTGAAATCATGAATTGTACAGTTTTTTTCATGGCTTTATGGAGGCACAAATGCCAAGGTAAACTGCACATATTTAAAATTTACCATTTGATCACTGTTGACCTATGGACATACCCATTGTGGCTATCACCAAAATCAAAGCAACAAACATTTCATCACTTCTACATTCTACTGTTCCCCTTGGTAATCTTTACTTTTCCCTCCTCCCTCTTCTTTCTGAGCTTTTTGCAACTACAGAATAGTTGGAATTCTTAAGAATTTTAATATAAATACCATCATATAATACTAGATACTATTGTACCTGGATTTTTTTATGCGGCATAATTTTTTATTTATTTATTTTTTTTGGTACCAGGGATCGAACTTGGGTCCTTGCGCTTGTGCAGCAGGCAGCAAAACCACTGAGCTAAATCCCCGGCCCCATAATTATTTTGAGATGCATGTATGCTGTGTATGTCAGTAGTTAATCTTATTGCAGAGGTTTCCACTTACATGTCTTAAGGGCTTGTCAAACTCGACTTGCTCAAAATAAAACCCATTATCTTCCCTTGCCCTAGTGGTCTTCTTCCAGAGTTCCTCGTCTTGTAACAGAAATCAGTGAGCTGGGAGCTAGGATTCTATTGGGCACTGAGGACAGAGGCTCCCAAATAGAGTTGGCAAAACCAATGTGGAGTCTGCTGAGTCTCGACCCTCCAGGGATCTTACAAAGACATCTGCCAGGGGTCCTTCAGCCGGGGGGCGGTGGGGGACCTCCCTAGAGCTTGATCCAGCAGGCTGTGGGGCTCAAGAGCACATGGGCCCTGCATGGATACCGCATAAACACATCATATATTGGACCCTAAAAAATATGTAGTCTCCTCTGGGGTAGAGATTATATTGCTTACACAAGAACTCAGCTCCCTCTTAATCCTTTAAGGGCCCCTAGACCAGTGACGTGAACGTTTTAGAGCTTTCAATGATATGAGCAGCCCATTGCCATAGGTTTGCCCCACTGCCCTTGACAAAAAGCCCTCCTGAGTATCCTACTCAGAACCCCTCCCAGCCAGCAGGAGCTTTACTTCCTTGCCCTCATATGTTCTTTTAAATTAAGTTTATTGGTACATTTTAGGTATACAATGACACTCACTATTGGGAATTTGTACCTTTACGTGATCTATCTTGGTTATTTTTCCCCTTCCCCTGCCCTCCCTTCGACCCCTCCACCCCTCCCTATATACAAAGATTGTTTTTTCCTTTCTCATATTTATTCCTTTCCGTTCTTTCCTTTCCCCTGCCCTTTTCTTTTCCTTTCCCTTTGGACCTTTTCTTCCTATTTCACATTATCTATTATACATTTTGACCCTTATTTACACTTTCAGTTTCTCACACTAGAGAAACTATTCAGTATTTACACATGTGTGTCCTATTTATTTCACTTAAGAGTATGGCCTCAGTATGCATCCATTTAGCTATAAATGTCTCTAGTTTATCATTCTTTATGGATGAGCAGTACTCCATTTTATAAAAAAACCACATCTTCTTTATCCAGTTTACAGTTGATGGGCACTTGGATTGTTTCCAAGTTTTAGGTATTACAAACTGTGTTGCTATGAACATGGGTGCACATATATCGCTGTGGTATGATTCTTTTAATTCTTTTGGGAAGATACCTAGCAGGGGAATAGCTGGGTCAAATGGGACCTCTAATCCTAGTATTTTCAGCTATCTCCATACTGATTTCCATAGTGGTTGCACCAGTCTACACTCCCACCAACAGTGGAGAAGGGTTCCTTTTTCCCTTGATTTGATAGCAGCCATTCTTTCTGGAGTGAGGTGGAATCCCAGCGTTGTTTTCATTTGCATCTCTAGAATGACCAGTGATGTTGAACATTTTTTCATGTTTATTTGCTGTTGCTACTTCTTTGTCTGAGAAATGCCTGTTCATTTCAGATGCCCATTTTTGGATTGGGTCTTTAAATTTGGGAGGTCTGATTTTTTTCAGTTCTTTATAGATTCTAGACAGTAGGCCTTTACCTGAGGAAAAGCAGGTGAAGATTTTTTTTCCCACCTTGTGGGTTGTCTGTTCGCGGTTTCTCTTACATCTTTTACTTTCTTGCCTTTATATCTTTTAAATAAATTTGCTTACACCCAGCTCCTCCCTCCCGTTTCATTCTTCATGACCACAGAGCATGACCCGGTTGTTCAGTAACCATCTCAGTGATCAGCCATCATGACCCAAGGCTGATGTGGCGCCTTGACAACTCCCCCTTCTGCTTTATGCCCATATTCAGTCATCATGGTCTCCTGCCTGCAGTCTCGCCAATACTTCTCCATTCCAACTATTTCTTTGAACTTCCACTGCCATCAGCCTAGTTGAAACTATGTCTTGCCTCTTTCCCAGCTTAGCTTTTATTCTTCTGATCAATTCCCCAAATTACAGTCAGAGTTACTTTTCTAAAGCGTGAATCCTTCCACCTGTCAACCTAAAGTATTATTTAACCTGTTCTGATTGTTCTTGAGGTGCGAAAATCATCCTAGGCATGGTCCACGTGACCCTACATGGCTTGTCCCTACCTTCCAAGTGAGGCTTGCCTGGAACTGAAGGGCCCTGGTTAGCAAGACAGACTCCATATTGCTGCTTGACTCACCTGCCTGTCCTTTAGATGAACTCAGAAGGAGGAAGCTTAGAAACCTCCTCCCCTTTTCCACTTCGGTACCTTTTGCTTGCTTTGCTAGTTCTGTCCCATGGGGGTGCCTAGAAACTGCAGGCCTCAAAGATGTATAAAACATGTTTGTCTCCCCCCAGTCGGGGCTCGAGTCCGATCCTCAGCTCGAGTACCGGCCGGTAATAAACTCCTGTGTGGATTTAATATCAGTGTCTGGTTGGTTCTCTCTCGCTGGGTCTAACAGGAACCAGTTTCCATGAGAGCAATCGCGCCCGTTTATATTCCATTCCTAACCCTTCTGCTGCTCCACCCCATCAGCAATACTGCTGGTTCTGCTTTGAAAACTCCGCCTTGACTCCACCCTCGGCCTCTATCCCCACCACTGGGACATGGGTCAGAGTCACCATCTCTTCACCTGGACTATCGCCAGAGAGAGCCTGCTGAGCTCTCCCCTCCACCCCTCCTTATTCTCTTGCCCCATGCAACTGGCTTTGGGAAGAATCACTAGGCAGTCCTATCAGGTAAGCCCAATCACGCACCCACTTGCTAGACACTTTCGTAGCTCCCCACTGGGATTTGAAGGCAGCCCAAAGTCCTGAACGCTAGGCGCACGGCCCTGCTCGGTCTGTTCCCTGCTCACCTGGCTGTCTCACCGTCTTCCTCCATACTGCTGTTTCCCTAAACTCCACTCACACTGGCCTGCCTTCTCTCTAACCTTCAATGTTCCTACTTCAAAATTTGTCTTGGTCTTTCTTCTTGAGGAATGCTTCTTCATGTCTCCTGCCTTTGCTTTTCCAAGGGGTGTTCTTCGACCACACTTTCCCTCCTCCAAGAAAGCCGCTCTGCATCCCACTGTTCGCGAGGCCTTAGTGCAGCACCCCGGGCTCGGCTCAGGCCTTCCTTGGCTCCTTCCCGCTCCCATCCACGCCACGCGTCGTCTGGCCGCCTCTCCTTGTCCTCGTCTTCACCGCACCCTCAGGCCGCTCCAGACTACTGGTTTCCTGCTGTCCGCGCCAGCTCAGGGCTCAGCTAACTCAGGGCCTTGGAAAGCGCCGGGGCTCTGCGCGGCACCCAGCCTTGGTCTGAGTCGCCCGCCGAGGAGGGTCAGGTGTGGCTTCCAGGTCGCTTTGTCTCGGGGGCCCGGCTCCCGAAACCGCCTTATTGCACGCCCGTCGTTCTCGGCCTTTGGCCTTTAATTCCCACCCAGCACGTTACTGGACGTGCTATTAATTTGCTTCTGGTCTGTTCTTTGCCATCTAGAAAACAGCGCTTCCACAGCGGGAACTGTTTTCTTCACCCTGCGGTGCAGTCTTGTCTCATTCAGTCAACGCACCGCCCGCGGCCGCCTCACCTACGCCCGTGTCGTGCCTCCCCGCCGCCAGCCTTCGGGCGGAAGCCGAGCCTAACTCGGCCGCACTTTCCAGCTGCGACTGATTTAGCTTCGGCGTGTTCGGCCCGCTCCGCAGCCCGAGGCCCAGCGCCCCTGCACCGCCGGCCGGAGCGGCCACCCAGAGGAAGCGCGGGAAAGGCGGCGGCGGCGGCGGGAGGCCGAGCGGGCGTCTCGCGGGGCGGACAGGGCGACGCCTGCGCACGGAGAGCGGGCGCGGGGCGCGGGGCGCGGGGCGGGAAGGGCGCCGCCTCCGCCTCCCCCTCCGCCTCGCGCCTCCTCCCGCCGCCCCCGGCCTGACGGCTCGGCGCTGCAGGCCCAGGCGAGTGGCGTCGCGAGAGGCCGAGCGGGCGCGGCAGACAGGCCCTTCTCCGTCTCAGAACCGAGGCCGCGGCTGCTGCCTGACCGTAAGCCCCCGCGCGTGTGCGTCTAAAGCTCGGGAGCCACTCGGACGCCCGACGCGCTCGTTGTGATCCGGCGCGGACGGAGAGCGGGGCCTCGGGGCGCCCTTGCCCCCAGGTCGGCTGGGGTCTGCTTCTCTCCGGGAGCCGGCTGGCCGCGGGGCTCGCAGGGACCGCGCCTCGGGGCCCAGCGAGATGGGACAGGCGAGGGAACAGGCGAGGGGACCCGGGCGATGTACGCTGGAGGCAGGGGCGGCCCTGGCTTTACACCTAGGACTCCGAGTGGAGTTTCAGGAAAAAAACCTGGGAAGGAACCAGAGCGCCGCCCGGGTCCCTGGGCCTCGCAAACAAGCCGCGGCGGGGGGTCCCGTCCTGGGGGCTTCCGGTCTGCTCCGTGTCACGGAGGGTCTGCACCTGACGCCAGCCTCAAACTGTGAATACTTGCTGCCCTTTACATCCGCGACTAAGCTGCATGTTGTGTGTCCGTGTTTTACCCCCAACCCATGAAGTCAGTTGAATTTGTGATGTGGTGTTGCACTCAGAAATGTTTCAGATTTGGAGTATGGTGGATTTGGAGCATTTGGTAAGGGATTCTCAACCTGTGTGAGGTATCAGAGGTGCTAAGTAATGTGGATGTGTAGTTCCATTGATCCTCACATATTGGTTTATACTATTACTACGATTCCTTTGCACCACTGAGGAAATGAAAGCGCAGAAAGGTTAGAGAGGGAGCAGGTGCAGAGCTGAAGTTGACACCAGCCCCCAGGACTGCACAGGGGTGGAGTGCACTGGTGAAGCAGGCCGGAGGACTTTCCTGGGAGCTTACAGTTTAGAAGGCAGGCGACACAGCAGTTACAGTTCTGCACGCTGGAGTCGCTGGAGTTGGAAGGAGGGAGCAGTCAGCACATCCAGGTCCCTACGCCACACGGGTCAGCGAAGGAGGACGAGCAGCTTGGCTTGTTACAGGGAGGAGACGGGATACTACCACAAGTTTTGAAGGTGTTAGCTTTATATGGGCCTTAAAAAAATCATCTGCTTTGACAACAACCATGTTTCCCTTCTTCTCTCTATTATACTCTAATCTGTCATGCCTGCATTTGTGGCATTATATTCTCATGGCAGACAGATGCCAGTCAGCAAGCATAATTAATAAGGAAGTGGTGTGTGTAGGTATTTGTAAGTGAAAAACACGGTAGAAAAAAACGAAGTCAAGCAAGGTGGAGTTGCGGAATTAAGTAAGATGGCCGGGCGTGGCCTCCTCACGGAGAAGAGAAGACCTGAGCCCGGTGTGAGGGAGGCGGCAGACTCAGCCAGGGCTCTGAGGGGAGCAGTGGGCCAGGGCGTGCTGTGCCTGTGGACCCGGGCCCGCGTGGCTGTGGGCAAATGGGTAGGGCGGAGTCGGGGGTGCAGTAGAGGCAGAGGAGGCCAGGGAGGTGGCAGCTCAGGAGGCCTCGGGCCACTATAAAGGACCTTGGGGAAAGGAATGAGGGAGTCAGCCTCATCCGACTGCTGAGCGTAAGACAGGAGCAAGGTGGAAGGAGAAGCCCGTAGGAAGCCTTAGATTCCTCGCGTACTTTGAAGTTGGTGCCAACAGGATTTCCTAACAGAGTGGATGTGGGATGTGGGAGTCGACTCCAAGGCTTTTGGCCCACGTGTAGGCGGGTGGGATTATCAGCTCCAGTGGGGAACTGGAGGGGGCTGGCCTGGCGTTCAGCTCTAGATGGTGATGATGTCCTCACAGTGCAGTGCGGTGCGTGGGGCTGCAGTCAGCCTGTGCTTAGGAAGACACTTGTCATTCCTGTTTTACGAATTGGAAATGACAGTTCAGAGAGTGTAAGGAATTTGCCCAAGGTTACACTACTTAAGAAAGAGAACCAAAAATCAGATCTTTGGGACCCTAAAGTCTAACTTTTCTTTGAAAATTTGGGGAATCAATCTTTAGTATGTAGCTAATAGAAGGTATAATCAGCTAATTGATAATATTCCACTTCTGTAATTATTAACAATGAAAATTATTTTTAGTAAGTGGAGAAGCAAGAAGTGAATACCACAAAGCCCCCTTTTCGCCCATAATTCTTAGCCGGCTTCTATGACTATGTGGCTTAAAAACGAGACTGCCGGAGGCAAGTGAGAGGCCTTTTCCATGAAAAGTTTTTTGTGCCCAGAGGTGAAAGATGTTTCTGTTTTCAAAATCTAAGAGCAGATTTGGAAGAGAAAGAAGCTTCCTCATTACATAGCTGGATTTCAAATTGATTCAAGTGTTAGAGGCTAAAATTTCACTAGAGGGGCTGGGGATGGGCTTGGTGGTATTGACTGGGTTCCCTTCTCAGCACTAAAAACAAAAGTATTAGGGGCCGGGGATTCAGCTCAGTGGTTCTGCTGCTTACCTAGCAAGCAGAAGGACCCAATTTTGACCCCCGATTCCAAAAAAAAAAGTACTAGGAGCTGCAGAATGTCAGATGGTACTGATCACTGGTAAGAGCTTTGGAAAGCTGAAGTGGTTAGGAGGTAGATCCTAAAAGAGACTGAGACAACAGACATTTCCTTTGGTCATTAATAGGTATCAAGGCAGTATAATTATGATACACTGAACTTGGTGAATGTCCTTAAAAGCCACTGATTATCATTTCATAGATTATGTTTTTCACAGAGCCAATTCCAGGCTTTGAGAACATTGTTTGGATTTCATGTCATAAAGAAAAGAATGAATTAGTAACCATGAGGCAGCAGGGCAGGCAGAGGGAGATGACCCCGCAAAATATTTTTTCAGGTGATTTCACATCACGTTACAGTGCATTATCACAATCAAGTTGCTGATTAAGTTTATCAAAGGCTATTGTATTTTTAGAAATAACACGCGTTTATCTCTGCTGATGACATTCTCAGTTGATGAACTGATTAGGTTTGGGATCTACTGTTGTTTGTTTAGGGTAATGTCTTCCTTCTTCTGGGGAGAGGACATTCTACCCCTGAGCTGTACACCCAGCCTCATTATTTATCAGACTTCCTTCTGATTCAGTTCTGTAAAGGATATGGCTCAGCACACCAGGACTATTTCTCAATGACTTCATAATTCTGTAGCAATATATTTTCTGTCATCAGCAACAAACAGAAATGAAGTTTCTTGGGCCATAGATATGGATAGATGCAGTGCATTATGGTAAGAAGATGGCTGTGAGACTGCTGTTGGACATTGAAGCTCACCACACTCCCTACCCTGAAAGCCTGGCCTAGGGTGGAGACGCTCCTTAATACATCCTCTCAGCATAACGTAATTGGAGCATTGTTTTTTCTTCTAATTCCAATGCACAGCTATTGAGGGCCACCCACATGTCAGTGGGAGGTGGAATAGAAAATAAAATAAAATATGGTATTGCATCTCAAGCAGCTTCCAGTCTAGTAGGAGGGACTGGGCTGTACATAACACGTCAGAGTGCATAATGCACAGTGATTGGTGAGCAACAGTTCAGGAAAGGCAGTGATGATAGGGAAGACACTGGGTGGGAGTGATGCACGTTGTGGGCCAAGGTAGAGGAGGCCAGCCCGGACCCCAGGTGTACGGGGCAGTTGGGCAGTGCTGCAGCACAGAGTACAGTGGGAAAGGAAGTGGGCTGGCTCTGGTTTAACCCTTGGTGAGTAATATTCAGACTACATGAGTCCCAGGCTGAGGCAGCCCTAATAACAGAACTGGAGCCCTGCAGACCAGCGCTGTCCAACAGAAATGCAATGCAAA